TTCATGCACTAATTACGGGTTAATTTAAGTAAGTATTAAAAATAGATCGTACAGTCCGAACAAGTTCGTACAGTACAAACGGCACAAAATCACTTACTCAAATTAAACTACGGCTAGGGTTTTGGATCTGAACATATCGTACAGTACGAATATATTCGTACAGTACGATCTATTCATAGAATCGTCCACATAGATCTGATCGTACGGTACGAATTAAAATCGTACAGTACGATCTCCAGAGAAGAATTTCTATGACATTTTGCATTTAAAAATAAACTCTCTCCCTGTGTGTGTGTATGGTTGCTTTTACTCTTATGCATTTTGTGGTCAGACTCAATAAAATAAAATAAAATAAATAGAAAAATACAATGTTTGACTCATACTCCTAATCTACCCTTTCTTGAGTCTTCCTTTCGTCCTGAGTCACTTGTGATCTTCCTGAAATGTTAGTACTCAAGGACAATAGCAAATAAAATAGTATTCAATAAAAAATTGTTCCAAAATACTCATTATTTGGCATCATCAAAATCTCAAACTCGGGGTCATGGGTTGCAACATCAACCTGGTTGATCCCAAGAACTTTGCCAGTAGCATTTACGGTTCTATCAAGAGGAGTCTTGAAATTTGTCCAGATGCAGCTGTGGAAGAAGAGGAAGAAGCAGAAGAAATTGAGCGAAAGAGTGACTGAATGGAGGTCAGGGATTTGATTAGGGCAGATGAGAGATGAGTCGAAAAATACCTATGGACCGAGCAACTGAATGGTGATCGGGAATACGTTGGTGATTTCAGTGGGGATTCCGCGTCGACAGCTGACGAAGGGTTGGCAATGGGGACTGCACACGAAGAGTTGACGACGGCAGATTCGGTGGTGACCAGGGATTCGGCGTCAACGGCGAATTCAGCAGCGTTGGAGGAATCGACGTCGAGCGAATGCAGGTAGGAAATGAAGGAATCGCGTGTAGACGAAGAAGGGTCGAATGGCTCGGTTAGGGCACGAAGAGGGTAAATATCCCATTTCTTGCATCGGTGAAAATTGTTTCAAATAGTGATCTATAGCACTCGTTTGATAACCACTGCTAATAAAGGAACTTTTATTAGGTCCGGTGTAAGGACGTAGAGGAACGTCCGATCGGAGGCAAAATCCCGCCAAAACACTCGGTATTTGCTTGGTATTGCTAGGTATTATTTGATAATAACGAGGAATACCGTTCTGCGAAGACCAATACTGAGTTATACCGAGCTATACCGAGCAATACCGAGTTGTACCGAGTTTTTTCTAAGAAAAACTCAGTACAACTTTTGTATAACTCGGTATTGCTCGGTATAACTCGGTATTCGGTCTTCACGTGATGGTATTCCTCGTTATTGTTTGGTATTGCTCGGTATTTCTCATTTTTTGGCGCGATTTAGCCTCCGATCGGACGTTCCTCTACGTCCGGTCGGAGGACGTAATAATTGATAATTGTTCCTAATAAAGGCGGTGAAAATCTCATACTTTTAATAGTGGATATAGTGGATCGTATGATAAACATTGATTGTAGTTTAGCTGATAACTCTAGAAAATGCAAAGTTGGGGAAGGTGCATAAGAAAATTTTCAAATCAAGGGAGAATGTTTATTTTTTTATTGCATGCCCTATAATACACTTCAAAGAGGTATTTACAGACATACAAGACTCACTCTAATATTAATCAGTTACCTTATAATCCCATACAACTGCATATTAATCACTTAATACTCTATATGACTTATTGACTCAATTCACTACCCATTATATTTATTTATCGTATCAATATCAGCCCCTTAAAAAATGACCTTACTCTCAAGGTTGAACTGAATAAAAAGAAGCCACTCAAGGTAGTATAAATTCAAATGAGAATCCTAAATAGAATATTAAGGTCATGTCATGTAGGCACAAATATTGACAAAATTGCAAGTGGTTGGCAACCATCAAGCTACATTTCTTGTCGAAATCTTGCACACGACATTTGAGGTAGCAGCCATTCTTCTGGTTGTTCCTTTTATCCTGTATTTTTTGTAACGTGATTGGAGTTGTATTAGAGATGTGAATATTTGACACGACTCGAAAATCCAACTCGAATCAGATTCAAAAATTTCGGGTTAGGGTCAACCCGACCCGAAACAGGTCGGGTTTGGGTTCAAGAATTCGATCCGTTTCAAAAATCGGGTCGGGTTAACCCTTTGACCCGAAGTTGACCCAAAATTGAACCATCTTGAATCGAAAACCGTTTTTGACACGGAAACCCGAGTTTGACCCGTTTTCGACCTGTTTTTTACCCGAAAAGCGAAATTTGACCCATTTTTTACCATAAAACTAGCAATTTTATCACAGTTTCAGGTCATTCGGGTCGTGTTTGGTTCACCCGGACCTGAAGCTGGTCGGGTTCGGGTCCAAAAAATTGACTCGTTTGAAAAAATGAGTCGGGTTACGATTGACCCGAATAGTGCCAGGTAAATTTCGGATTCGACCCGAACCAAACCCGTGACTTGAAATTGACACCCCTAAGTTGTATTAGCCAAACCTATAGTATCTTCTATGAAAGGTAAAGGCAATATAAACTTTGGTGGTGAAACATTAGAGGATGCTTGAATCGCTAGTTGAATCAAACAAAGACCTCAAGCAAGTTCTTGGCTTTTTGATTGGACTATTAGAGCAAGAGAAAATGTATCGATGTCCGTTTGAATCATATAAGGAGCTCGAGCTGGTGTTTGCCATTTCTTAAGAACTTGAATGCGTTTTAAGGCTCTTGCCATTCATTGTTGCACTGAAAATCACATGTTATTGTTTGAATCTATATATTGTAGCTGAATGTTGATGAAAATTTGCAAATTGACGTAGACGAGACGAGCATCGAGTGAAGAATTCCTAGTAAGAGCACCAATTATGCGAACTAGTTATGCAATTGACGGAATATAGACGATCATATGATAAATGACCATTGTAGTTCGCTGACAACTCTAGAAAATTCGCGACCTCGTGGGCGTGGCCCCGTCTGCCGCGTGGTGTAGCCTGCCCCGCCTGCCCGAATTTGGCAAAATTTTTTAATGGAGGCGCAGGATTTGGCTGAAATAGGTGGGGTCGGGTTGACCCAAATCCGACCCAAACCCGAAGTGGGTCCGATTCGGGTCTAGAAAACCAACCCGTTTGCAAAAACGAGTCGGGTTAGGATTGACCCGATTAATGCCGGGTCATTTCCGGGTTCAACCCGAACCCGACCCGTGACCCAAAATTGACACCCCTAACACAAATGCACTTTAATAGAGCTATCTATAGGCATATACAACCCACTCTAGCATAACCTACTCTAACATTAATTACTAACCCATGTAACCTTGATGCAACACCAAAATAAAGATTAGAGCCAAAGTTACAAACTAAGACACTACATCAAGATTTGAGTTATTCATCATGCAGAACTCTCCAAACAAGCCGATAAACAACCCCTCATAACTCCAAATCATTAGAAATAATTAAGGAGTTTAATATAGTCCCTTGATAAGTAGATTAACCACACCAATCAACGAGACGAAGATCTTCAAAAAAGACTTCATTTCATGATAACTCCACTATGTTGGGAAGTAAACCACACAATGAGAAGTTCCAAACAAGGTAAACTTGGGGCTGTCATTTCTCATGCATGTATTGAGATGTATAAGCAAAAGTTTGAAGCCATCCTTATTGGCCAATCCCAATATCATTCACCAAAGCGATGAATTTTAGTGGTGTGGTTTTATTGATATTTAGGCTTCGTTTGAGACAGCTTTCATACTGCTTTTTAAAACGGCTTTTAGTGTAAAATCTTCAAATTCAAAAAAAAAAAAACACTGAAAAGTTGTTTTAGAAAGCAATAAGAAAGCCGTTCCAAACGAAACCTTAATCTAGCATTTCAACTCCAAAACTGTGTCGATAATGAAGCTATTGAAATAGGACAAACTCAAATGGTTTCCAACCATGTAGGCAAGTAATGGTGGTAGTATTTGAAGTTGTAAAGAAGCTCTATTTGAAAGGTGTGAGGTGAGGAGGCCATGCCATATGAAAAGGTTTTGTAAGAAGATATAAGCTCTTGTGTTATGCAACTCTAAACTCATTAAGGCTCCACATTGTCTTTACTC